AATGAATCCTTATTTGTATCTGAGGTTGCAGGAAATCAAACATTCAGATAAATGCTAAAGTAACTCATCTGGATTATAGGATTTTATGAATGGACAAAGCACGGGGAATTTCAATAATGAGGAAACACAAAATGTCTGATAATGTGAGCACTGTGAGCCAGTTTGGAGGTTCATGTTTCATTTGTTGGATTTTCACCTTATTCTCATACTAGTAAGTTGAAGTTCCTGTCTCCTGGCTGCTGTGTGTTCCCCCTTTTCCCCACAATAATTAAGGAGGTAATGACAGGCAGAGTGTGATCACAATAAAATAACTGCCAAGAACCTGAAATGCAGATGGGCCAAAAACCTCTAGCACATTCCAGAGAGGACAAAAACAGAACTTTCAGTTCAGGTAACTTGGACTGCAGGCTACCTATGTTGGGTGAATCTATAATCCACAAACATATCAGTGATACTGATGCAGGCAGGAAAACAAGCCTTTTCAAACTTACAGTATCTAATAAGCAGCACCCATATATAGCAAAAACACAGGCACTTGATCTCTATCCCATTACTGTTCCTCTCTCCCAACACCCCAAAATAATCATTCACCCATCAAGAGGCTTACTTTTGCCACTAATATTTCCCGTAGTCATCAGATTGCTTTCAAAGAATTATTTCACAGCATTTGTGGTTTCTTTGAATTCAATGGCCTCACTCTCCAGTCCATCTCTACAAGGCTTTTGTGCACATTCTGGCTTGAATCCAACAACCATGTTGCAAAAGTGGAAGGATCCCGCATGCAGAATGGGGACTTCCTTGCCCAACACTCCAGAGCAGATTTAGGGAACTTGTGAGGAAAGGAGGGCTGTGGAAAGGGTGCAAAACTGTGGAGGTCCCATTGTTCAAATGGAATCCTTCCACTAGACAATGAGGATGATGGATCCAGCCTGTAACATTTGGCATCAAGAACATTCACATCTGTGCTCATATTAAGTTGTGCAGGTCAATGAAGCAGACAAATATGCTTAATTATCACCTAAATAGTTTCAATACATGTATTTTATTCTTATAGCATTGTTTTAGCTTTTGCAGAATTTTCAATTTTTGGCAAGTGCTCGTTGTAGTAGCAGGAGATGCATGGATATATGAAATACAGCAGAATCATAGGCAGAGAGGCACAGCTGCAGACTATGAGACTAGGGCAGATAACAATCCCCAGAACATGCAGTAGTTTGCTGATACTGTATTTTTATATTTTAAGTGAATTTCTACAACTCTGAGGGTAGAAACTTCTTTTTCTGTGGGTATTAAGAATCCATATTGCATTATGATGTTAGATTCCATATAAAATTTTATATGTAGAGAAAAGGTAATATGTAGCAAAGTGGAAGAATTTGTTTTTATGCTCTTCTTCAGGGTATCCACAAGATTGCCAGTTCTAATCCATTTGCTGGAGGGCTTTTTAAACAGCAGCAGCCACAACAACCACAATAACATTGGCCAGCATTGGTTTGTGAGAGCTTTCCTATAATCTAGGGTAAATTAGTGCTAGGATATGTGGCCCTTTGGGTGGTGCTGGACTTCAACCCCTGTGAGTCCCAGCCATCATAGACATTAGTTAATAAGAACTGTATTCCAATACCAGCATAAGGTCCACGCCCTTAAATTAGTGGAAGAAGTCCATGATGACTATGTGAATAAAACAATAGATATAACACATGAAAATGTAATGAGTGAATGAGCAAAGCAAAGGACACAAGCACCCAAGCAGCTGAGCAACAGAATACATGCCAAATGGGAACAAGTTTCCTCATTTCATGATAGCTCCAGACTAAGAACAGAACAAGAGGGCAATCAATATTTCAGACACAGTAGGAGATTAAGGATTTTACACATGTCCTGCTATTTTCTATGTGAACAGCTCACAACTTAGGTCCCTCCTCTTTAATCTTACTAACAACAATTTCCAACAACTGGACAGTAAAAGGAGCCAATATTTTCTTTTTTCTTTTAATTGGAGAACCACTCTAACAGTCAGGATGGAAGGTCCATAACTGGGATGGTAAAGCTAGATCACAGAAGCAATGGTTGTCCTAGACTACAATAGGCAGCCTGTATGCTTGAACTGACAAGCACTCGATTCTCTGTAATTAATAACTGCATCATGTTCTGGAGCTGATTACGTCTCCTAAATATGTTCTGAAACCCACGTCAACATTAATTACTCTGCAAGGTCAGCGGCGAAGGGAAGATAAGGCCACCTCTCGCTTCTCCAATCAAGAACAACCTTACTACATGGGAAAATGTGAAGCCAATTTTTGCACAATTGCTTGTACTAAATTAAGCAAATGTTGTTAAGAACTGGCAAAGGGAGGGGGAGCTGGTTGGGAAAGAAGCAAAGGATGAGACTACATTGGAGGAAACGGAGAGCTAGGAAGTCTGATGATGTCAGGCAAGTCTCTTGGAAATGAGTGGTCAGTCATGCATCAAACAAACCCAATTGGATAAACCAAGTGCTGCAGAAAATGACAGTAGCAATGATATTAATATAAACATTGATATTAATGTCAGTGAGCACAGCAGCTATACAGCGGTGACCCAAAGTTCATTTTGTCTACCATGAGGAAACCTATTTATTGCCAGCACCTTGGCCCTTTTATTACAAACGCAAGCACTCTGCTGCTGGTGCAGACCAAAGCCCTGTCTAATAGCTATCCTGTTTCACACAGTGGCCAAACAGATGCATTTGAGAAGCCCACAATCAGGGCTTAAGGGCAACAGTTTTCTGCTGTGTTTGTTCTCCAGCAATTGATATCCAGAGGCATGGTACTCTGACCTTGGAGATGGTATAGAGCTATCAGGATGAGTAACCACTGATCCACCATTAATTTGCTTGACCCTCTCTTAAGGACATCTAAACTGGTGGCAATTGCATCTTGTGACAGACAACTGTTTTAACTATATGTTGTGTGAAGTAATCCCCTTTATCTGTCCTGAACTGTCTACCATTCCTCCAGGTTCCAAAATTTTGCAACAGCAGACCTTCAATTGACTTTCAGTGTCACAGAGATAGAACCAGTACTACCTCTTTTCCATTTTGGAGGAAACCTATGGACACCGTGTCCCAGAACTAAAACAGTCTATCACAAGCACAAGGATAGCACCTTGGGAACATATATCCAGAGGACAGGAATATCATATCAGCACATAAAATCAAATCAGTATATGAAGGTCAACCAAATGCACAAAACACTGAAGTTAAATGTGGATAATGGCTCTTAGAGGATCTCTGTATGGCATGAGAAATTATTTAGTGAGAGAGTTCTGACAAATACACACACAATAAAGTGCAGACCCATGAACAAGGACCCAAGGCAAAGGACATGAGCACCAGAGGTATCTGAGAAATCAATGACGCCCAAGAAAGAAAGAAAGTTATTTTATGAGACTATATTTGTTACAAAAACCAGCACACCGTGACCTTGCAAAGGAGATCAATGGAAGCAGCAGTAAGGCCCATGTTGCAGAAGTAGAAGCAGTGGAGTAAAAACAGAACTCACTGGTACAATACAGCTACTCTGCTACCTAGCACAGGATAGTCCCATGCAGTATAGATACTTCTTGACTTTTCAGTGTGACAAACACCCCAGTGATGCCATCAATTCTATCAAGTGGCTTCCCTACAGCCTGATAGATTTTGCTGTCAGGAAAAGGTTACTTCTGTTAGTTGCCTTTACTCACTTTCACCCTGCTAGTTCTTATTTAAAATCTGAAGTACTCTTAGCAGCATCCTGCGTGCCTGTCCTCATGTTCACTTAATATATGCATGGCTCACTCTGCTCTTGCCCCATTTAACCTATCCATTAACCACCTCTAAATATGTATACTTTAGCTCTCTCAGTTGCTATCAATCAACATTGTTTTGGATTTGAAATGCCCAGATGCAGACAAACTATTCCACTTTCTCTCATAACAACTAAGGTAATAATAAATAGGATAAATGTCTCCTTACTCTGGAAATTAGTAGGAATATTAGAAGAGCATCAAAACCAGGAATGATCCAGGGTAGTTCAATAATGATTGCTGACCTGCTCAAATCTTCCTGAAGCCATTAACAAGGTAGGTCATCTTAGTCAAGCCAACCTCCCTCAGACTCTGTTCCCTGTGTGTAAAACTGGAATGCTAGGGACTTGCAGGGCTCTTGTGAAAATGAATGAAAGAACTGCACATCAGTCCCCGTGTTCAAGATGCTTTATACAATGTCAGCAACCAGAAAAACAAGTGTAGTCATTGTAGACACATTCTAATCAACTGAACGTTATCTTTGCTTTGGGCCCATTGATCAGTTTTACCTTCTACCTAATAATTGTACCATCCATTAGTGTATTTTCTGCACTGTCATTATTTAAACTTAGCTCCTAGCAGTCTGAAAATCCACCAAATATCAAACAAGCCCCATCCACTCTTTGTTTGGGTGGTATTTCACCAACAGCAGGTATTCACATGGATCATTAGAAAAAGATACATAATAGCCAGCTGTGGAGGCAGAAGCACCATTATCCCATGGAAAAGCACTTTATTGAGAATTCTCTCAAACAAGCCAGCCCTAGGCTTGTCTAAGCACCAGCCCTTAGCATGTGCCTTCTTCCGCAGGTAGCAAAACCTGGGATGGCAGGGTGGGAACTGTCTTTTTCAGGATCATTAGAGCACCCTTGTGAAAACAGATGAGAGGACTGTGAGCAAAAATGCGGACAAGTCATAGGAACATTGGAAGCTGCCTTATACTAAGCTGGAGCCTTGGTCCATCTAACAAAGTATGGGAAACGGAGTGGCAGTGGCTCTCCAAGGACTTTTTCCAGCCCAGCTAGGAGACTCCAAGGATTCAACATAAGCAGATGTTCTGTCACTGAACTAGGACCCCTCCTCTATGCCACCTTCCCAAAGGCATAAAAGCACAAAGATAATGTAACCCCAGGTGAGCTGTTCTCCAAGCAGACACACATACACACATTTCACACCTCCATTTCTTTCAGCACTGGATGGTCTTCTATGCCAGGGAAAAGGACTCTCATGGCGTAGGTGCGATAATCCAAGAAGGGGATGCCGGCCCCATCAAGATCGTTGGTCAACTCGTGAATATCTGTCTGCAGCTCGGCAAAGGCTGGGAAAGAAAGAGCAGGTTAAGCAAGAAACACAATTCCCAATCCGCCAAACCCAATCAATGGTTTGCAGGACTAATCCCTACAATAGCACCCACTGACTAATGCTTTGGCTAGTTCTTACAATAGCCTCAACTTTATTCAAGGATCCAGGCAAATTAAGTACTATTAAATTAGTAGCTTTTTATCCCATTCCAGAAATGGGGGGCAGGGGGCAGGGGCAGTACTGAGTTAGGAGTTACAGAGCAGGGGCAGAAAAGAGATCTTAAAAGTGAAACTGGAAGGGACCTTTTCAATGCCATCCCGTCCAGTCTCCTGACACTGAAGCAGTGAAGGGTATGCAAGCTAGTGCTTTCGTATAAAATTGCCCTTCTGGCTGCTCATATAAAAGGGCATGGAATGAAATGCAGGCAAAGATCTTTTAAGCGAGTATCTGAGGACAGGAAACAGTCGCATGCTGCAGGGATGTCCACCCTTCAATTCTGATTCACATCCTGCTGATTGAACCACCATTTGTTGATCCAGTGCTTGGCTACAGGAAGGGAGAGAGAGAGGGAGAGAGATGGCATCCTGTACCTTTAATTGCCCCTACAAGTGAAAGCAGCCTGTTTGTGTACACATTCTAGTGCTGTACAAGCACGAAGGGGAGGGGGTGCATGGAGGAAAATCAAATTAATGGCACTTTAAAAGAAGCTAGAAGCGGCAGAGGGCTGTAGGCTGATCAGTTTGATGAGAAAAAACAAACCGTCAGCTTGAAAGGCACACTATCTTATCTGTAACTAGTGGGACTAGAAAAGAGAAAAGGCAGAGAAGATATTGCAGCTTTTAATTAAAAACAGATCCCTTTATCTGCCAGCTGTGGAAGACAAGGTGAAATCCTCTCCATGTGCTCCCCCCTCAACCCACCCTCCAATCCTCTCTGTCACTATTTCTATCTGCAGGGCTATTTTTCCACTCCCCCTCCCTTTTATTATCTCATTTTAGGCGCCCGTTTCCGCTGCAGCCTCTGGGCCAACTTGGAGTTGGCAGGGTCACAGCCCCAGGCACTGGCTTGTGGCGATAATGGGCAATTAGGTTTTATCAGCAGGATCAGAAGCAACATTCTGTCCAATTTCTCAGCATCTGTCTGTCACATAATGAGAGACCCACAGCCTTTTTCAGGCAGGCTTCTCTTTCCTTTAAAACTTTTCCTCTTAAAATCTCGCTAAGTTCCTTCGAACTGTAACAGATAAAATTCAACCACCTTCAATAAAACTGTTTCACCTGAACCCTCTTCCCAAAGGACAATCCTTAAAAGGGGAACCAAGCTTGCAGAACAATCCAGGCTGCAACAAAGCTGGGCACTAGAAAAAGCCATGGTATAGAATATAGACTTAGGTTATGTTCTTAAATCGAAATCCTAAGGCACTTGATCATTAGGGGTTCACTCTGCTATTCATATAGTATCCCAGTGAAGAAAGATACAAAAACTATTGGTCAGTGCTGGCCATATCTGGCAGCTACCAGCCCATGATGATACTCAGTCACATTATCCTATCATCTTGTAGGCTGAGTACTTAAACAGGGCCTTAATAATGCTAACAATGCAGTGAGAGTATATCCTAGCCTAGCATTGTTATTAGTTACATTCATATTCCTCACTTCCTCCAGGAAACTCAGAGTATTGTACAAGATTTTCCCACCTTTGAATTCTTTTATTATTGTGTTTTAACTACTGTGCAGTGCCTAAAGAAGTGGTTTTATGAGCAATTTAATAAGTATAATGAATAAATATGACTTTTATCCTCGCCAACAATCCTGCTAGGTTGCAAGGTCATCCAGGGTCACTGATCCAAGGCCACCCAGGAGACTTCATGGCTGAGCAGGTCCTGTTTCTTACTTGGCCCTCGACAATCATTAAAACACACTGCCCATGGACGTCTATGCATCAGATACCCAAACTGGAGCAGGAAAGAGCCTTTGTAAGTGGAGCATTCACTCTAACAACTTGCAAAAGTTGCGTTTTCATTATTTTTTGTAAATGACATAGCTTCAGAAGTGAGTAGGGTGCCTTATGAGCAGGGCAGGACCAGCCTTACTGAACAACAGAGATGAAGTCAATTGACTGGTACCCAAAAGAACACAGGAAGCAGTCTCATATAGAGTCAGACTCTTGGTTTATTTTGCTCACTAGCGTTGATGATAACTGGCAACGGCCCTCCAGGACTTTGAACAGGCGTTCTTCCCACCCTACCTGGGGATACCACTGAGGCATAGCACTTCACTTTATATTCTCATGCAGGGCTGCAGAATCTCTTCCAGTCTGAGGACCAAATTCCATTGGGAAACAACTGCACAAAAGCTGGAAAGCAACCAGCTTGGCTGGGGTGAGGCCAATGTGAATTGCTGCTGGAAAAAAAAGGCTTCAATACAGTGCTGCTTCATGTGAGGGCTGTATCAGGTTCAGGCCATTGTGCAGCAACCCTACTGTATATTGTATTTCACACTTATCCCACTCTACCCCAAATGCCCAGAGTGGCTCCCATGGTTGCCAGGTAGGCACCTATCTAGACAGATCCCACAGCCAAACTTCCACAGCTTCAGCAGCAGAAATATATCATGTGTCTTCAGACCATTTCCTAAAATTCTCTATAGCACATACATTTAGAATACTGAACAGGGAAACTGCAATCCATGCACTGCTTCCTGGCCACTGCCAGCTGGGACTGTATCGTGCTGGCAAGGACATGCCCTATCCATCTGGGCTGCTCCAAAAAGCAACAGCTTGCAAACGTAATGGCTTCCCTCATGAAGCGCCTCCACAAGGAAGTGTGTCTTGGTGAGCTGCCTAAGTTCCTAAATTACAGAAACTACTTTGGGATGGAATCCCACAGAGGGACATAATGGAATGTCCAAACTATTTCTGAAGGCATTAGATCCATTTCCTTAAACCTGATCTGCCTGATCAAAACTAATGTGATAGGTTGTTTTGCATGGATATTTTAGAGCACAATTGGTACATGAGTGGAGGAAGACCAAAACCAGCTCTCACCTGCAGTTTAGCACCCACGATTTTTCCCCTGCCCACCCCATCCGTTGCGGCCCCATGAATTTTCTCCCTCACCAAAGTCAGATACTGGCAATGTCCTCAGTTGCAAGTCAAACACTTGTGGAGAAAAAATGCAGGGAAATGGATGGTCTACAGCAGGTTCAGCTCCACTTCCCTTCCATGTGATTGAGGTAGACTCAAGTTTAAACAGAAGATTCTGCTGCCATTTTGTGTAGTTTGAGACTAAGAATGAGCTCCTACCATTGCTAATACGTTTCATGGAAGAAAAAGATCTTGGCACCTAAATGCAAGAAAGCTCTCTCTCTCTCTCTCTCTCTCTCTCTCTCTCTCTCTCTCTCTCTCTCTTTCTCTAAAGGAAAGAGACAGGCTAAAATCAGCAGAGAACTGATAGGCAGGTAGTGTGGATGGCAGAAAGAAAACTTAGTCAAGCAACCTCACCTTCTTTGCACTCCAAGGCCACGCGAGATTCCAAGTTGTCCATCTGCAGCTGGAGACGCTTGAGGGTGCGGTCAGCATCCCGGGACTTCCGCTTGTATGCGATGAGGACGATTATGATGATGAGCAAGAGGAGGCCCCCACCCCCACCAATGCCAATGATGGCTGGCAGGGTCAGCAAGTTGTCTGAGTAGATCTGCAGTGTTCCCGGGGAGAACTCAAAGCCCCCAGCCTTGATCTGAGAGACACCAGGAGAAAGAAAGAACAAACATTAGCCCTTCTTGGCAATAAGGAAGCCCATGCTGTCTTCACACTCCTCTCCACTTACCAGAAACGAGGGACCCAAGAAAATTTTGAAACTGAGCAGTTTAGGGCTGCTCCTGCTGGAGAGAGTAAGAAGAGAGCTGAGCAGCAAATAACTGGCTCGCCAATGATCAAAGAGCAGGGCATGATCGCAAAGTACTTGTCAGTTCTCCTGCTGTTTAGTCAAGGAGAGGGATCAGTGTAGCAGCCAAATCTGGGGGGCTGGAAGGTTGCTAAGGAAGCCAGTCATTCAAACTCCAAGATCTGCCCCCTGACCAGAAGCACATTACCTGAGCATATCTGAACAGCACAAGTGCTAATATAAACTACTTTTTAATCATTTAATTTTAAAGCACGTGCCATTCAGAATTGACACATATCGTTTATATCCTGTATTTATCTAAGTATAGAATATTGAGTGAGAAAAGGCTGTTAGAGGTGTTTTCCTGCCAACAGGGACCAAGAGTTTTGCATAGATATGGTCTTACAGAAAGGGGAAGGAGGGATGAGATTGGAGACAATCCCTGCCTGCTATTTTTCCTGTCAGCTCTTACTCTTGACATCTGTTGCAGTATGGGCTTTTTGTGCTGGGAATATTACCAATGCTTTAAACTTTTCCAGCTGGTGACCTCAGCTATCTTGTCACCATGGGATGAGTTAATAGCCACCATCTCCTGAATTGAAGAAATTTTGATACTCGTAAGAAAGAGATGCTTGCCAAACCAGGCAGCTCGCTGATAGCTCTATTAGAAACAGAAGAGGGCATTCTCAGCCTCCCTGTCTGGTCATTATACCAGTTGCTGCAACCTTACTAGCCACGCCCTGGGCACCTGCTAGTTAGCACTGACAGCAGCCTTTGGAGGGGTGCAAAAGCATGAGGGAAAGGACAATGGCCGGCTACTGCGGGGTGAAGTCTCACACTGCCTGTCCAAGCACTGTGAAGAAATTAGATGGGATGCAGACACAGGCTGGTACATTGCCGATGCCTGCAAGGAGCAAGCAGTGAGTTTGATGTCTCATTCAAGCAACATTAGAATAACAGATGGGATGCAAAGTGCATTCCCTGATGGATGAGACGCCTGGAGGAGGGAATGTTTTGGGTCCTTTCAAGTACCCAAGGCCACACTGACTGAGAATTGCCGCGCTGCAGCCTAATAGACAGTGAATCCTACTTAACACATTCAGGGACTGTTGGGAGTTAACAGGGAACAGGCAAAAAAATCACCTGTGTGGAGAATGAGCAAAAACTTCCTTTCCACTTCTAAAGTCAGTGATAAAAAACTAACCCAATAATCGGGGGAGGGGGGGAGACAAAAGCATGCCAAATATGAACAACTGCACCAGGTAGGGTGTGTTCACACAGCAAAGCTGTAAGAACCACTTGGAGAGATCACAAGTGGGACTTCTGCCAATTGCTATGACGCATCTTTGTCTTTTCATTGCGATTCCTGCATATGCATGCAATAATCTGTACAGATGAGCTCTCACACCAGCTGGGAAACGACAAACTGCTCGTATTGTATGAAAACAGGTAAGGCATGGTCTCTAGTCAGCCTCCCACTTGTTCAGTAGCAGAATCTATCTCCATGCTCAGATGGGGATTACTTACAATATCCTTGTGAATACTTGCATTTTACTTCCACCTTGTTATCTGCCCAAGGTGAGCACAGTGGATGACATGGTGGAGAACAGCATTCAGTGAAGACTACTCAAAATAAAAGGGCCACAGAGAAGCAGGCAAGAAGTAACATGGATCCATGCAGGAAAGATCAGGTTCTATGTATATTACTTCAATTCAAGCACCTAGACATCAGATCTGTACTCTGAGAATCTGTGTCCCCCATTCAGGTCTAGAACGTTACACTGGACTGAGTGCTCCAACAACCATGAGTCATATTAAGAGCTATCTAGCACATGCAGGAAAAGGAGATCGACGGCACAACTCTTGCGGCCACAAAGAGCTCCAGGTATGTTTCCAAATCCCTCAGAATTGGTTTTTTCAACTGCAACTCAAACAAAATCCCTTCAGACTTCCTATAGAAGATAAAGGATTGGGATCCAAATACTTGGATTTTCTCCCCTTGGCTTTGCTAGAATTCCCTGCTCCAACATGACCTCCAAAACTGTCTGGATAATCCAAATTCTGCAACATGGGAGCAAAATGTTTCCTCAAAATGTACATAAGCAATATGCATGACAAAGCTTGGTATAATGAACCATTTGGGGGGGGGGGCACATTTCCAAGCAGCAGAATTTGTATTTGGGAAGGGGTAGGGAAGAGGGAGAAATTACAAAGATTCAATGTGTACATTCTGTATTCTGTATAAACTGGACTAAATGAAACACTTTGTACTGCACGGTGTACTGGAGAAGACTGTTAAAACAACACAGAGCACAAACTGGACCATGCCTGACTTGATTTACCGTCACTTTATGCTGTCCTGTGAGATTTGGTGACTCGCAGAGAAGTTGGGTCTCAGAAACTGTAAGGGCACAGGGAGTTTCACCAATTAGCACAGTGTAGTTTAGCCGGGAATTGCCAGAAGCTGGAGGAAGCAGGTTGCGGCCCTTTAAGAAACAAGCAAGAGTAAGACTTGGTTTACTGTTAGGCTTTCAGTTCAGCCTGCCAACGTTCTAATACACACACACACAAAAGTTGAACTGCCTTTCTTTGCTAAGGCTTTGTTTCTGGCAGTGATGGGAGTATTACCTTCAAGATGAGTGGGGAGCTTGGCTTCAGCTCCAGCATGCCAGAAGGGAGGGACTCAAACACAGGATCTGGGTAATAGACAAAGTTGGTTTTGTTGATGATCAGCAAGGACTGGACATTATCCATGACAAAACCGATCTCATCTGGGCGGTCACCAAGCTCTGGAGGGCTCCGGACTGGATTGTCAATGGAGGGGGCATAGCACACCATGGTGGTATCATTGTAGACTGTGCAATTCTAGAAAGAAAGAGGCCACTAGACTTAACCAATGCTACCTTTCAATGGTTTGATTTCAAACATTAAGCCAAGTCAAGTGTAATTAATTCCTGGAGAAAAGTTTGCACCTTTCCACTCTCCTGAGGTAAGGCAGTGTAAATTAGCAAAATGTGCATTACTGAAGTGGTGTCATACACAGAAGGTCCAAGTCGAAGGTTCTGCAATATGACTCATGGCAGCTCAGCCTGTACCAGCATCAGGGCTCTGGCCAAATTCCCCCCCAGTCATGCCATTTCACTTCTACGTAGCATTTTAAAACAGGAGATGAGGAAGGAGTCACAACATTTCCCCCAGCTACAAGTATGTCCGTATGTTAAACTGGCCTGTGCTTGAAGTATATTTAAATGTTTAGGCTCTAATGCATCTTGTTCTGTCCTTACAAAAAAGAAAAAAAAATCCTGGTATGATTTAAGTTCCGAAATTTGTGCAGACTTGTATCCAAGTTAATCCTGTGCCATCATGGCTATCCTATGCTAGATTAGCGGCTGTGATTGTCTTTCCCTAGTTTTTCTCTATTTCATTCTTGTCTATACCAAAGAGATATATCCTACCCAAGACCATTTGCTACTTGTTTTGCTGCTTTTTGAGGGAAGGAGATACTCCATTAATTAGATGCAGTAGCACAATTTATTATTAATGAAATTGACAAAACATGACATGGACAGTAAGGGGGAGAAAAACATGTTCTGTGATGGTGGCAGATACATAACAGGGATTGAAACAAAAAAAGCTCTTTTCAATTCTTGTAAGAATTCCCTTGAACATGCAACTACTATTGTCCATGCAAGAGAGATCATTTTTACCTGACTTTTTCTAGATCACAGAACATGCAACACAACAAATTTGTAAATGTTGCAAATGTTGTAACCATCCTGAGAGTCATTGACTAAATAGGAGCAGTGCAGAAACGTATCAAATAAATAAATAAAACAAGCTGAATGTTCCCCTTCACCTTTCTCCACCTAGGCATGACATCTTTGGCTAGAGATGCACAAGAGATTTTTCTCCATAGAGAACTGAAGATGGAGTAATTGCGGTCCACGATCATCCCACAATCCCCACTGGTAAATGCTTCAGAGGTTTCTGCAGTTACACAAGCCTGAGAAGTCTGTTGGACAACAGACAATGGTAGGGCAAAAGAATTCTATGTGTGCATGTCCATCATGAGATTTTCCATCCTCTGAAAACCTTGTCAGAATAGTTGACTTACATTTTCTCTCTCAGCACTGCCATATTTGGCTCGGATTTTGGGTTCCTTGATAGTGGCCAGGTTGGTGCCTGTCACCGTCAACAGTGTCCCACCACTGGGGAGCAAGCAGAAGAAGGGGTTAGCAAGAGGTGAGAATGGAGTAAGGATACAGCAAACAAGAGAGCAATTTCTACTCCTTTTCTGTTCTATCTTCAGCTGGGGAAAATGTGAATTCAAGACTATCTCAGAAAGCAAGTAGGAAAAATGCACAATTTATATTCTGGGATACCTTCATTTTCAAGGTATACCAGGAATTCCTGCACATACATGTTGGCCTTGAGTAAACCCAAGAATCTCTGTATTAGCAGACCCTTTGCTACAGCTCTTAAGGTTGTTATTTCATATTTATATTATCAGGGAATACCCATGTCAGAATGAAAGGCCTACTGTGCAGAAAGTTGCACGCTAACAGACACAATCCTTATTACTCAAAAGAGGTATAGTATGCCAGCCATTCACAAATGTGTCACTAAGCTGCCACCACTGCGATCAACTGAGCATAAACTGGTACAGCCGGACGAATATTTGGGGAGATTTAACTGGCTTAATGTTGGCATTAATCTCTCTTAAGGATTAGTCATTCAGAATGGAGGGGACAACAAAGATTTAACTATAGCATTTTATTCTCTATTGAAATGTGGCAGATATAGAGGCATTTGCTTCAGGGTTACCTGTTGATGCTCCATTCAGGGTCTATCTTCTGAATGGTGGGGTCCTCAGTATAGTAATAGGTCACATCAGGACTGCTAAGTACAGCCCGGTTTATATGGATGAGGATGGGTGAATCCCCTGGACTCTGGCCAGGTGGTGTCTTACACCGGATTTCACCAGCATTTCTCCTATGAGACAGAGAGAGAGAGAGAGAGAAACACAAAATAAATGTCTTTGACTATGGGAAGGAGAAGTAAACTTTTTTACCATTGTTACACCATGGCATAATCTCAGGGCTAAGCACTGCCAGGGCATGGGTGCCAAGCTTGTCTATCACTCCATGCATCCTGGAACCACTGAAGAAATATGCACAGAATACAGACACCCTTTCTGCCCAAGCATCACAGGGCACAAACTGAACATCCAATTCCCAAGGCTATTTTGCCAAGGGAGAGAGTATGCTAAACAAGGAACAGACAGAATGCATTCCCCTAAGGATTAAGACACCATATTTCTTGTAAACTAGGAAACAGAGCTTTCACTGTAGTGGTGCCCTGACTCTGGAATGTCCTCCCACAAGGAGCATGCCTGGTGCCAACATTACTAACATTCTGGTGCCAGCCATTTGTTTATCCAGACATTTATGAACAGCCAGGTGCCTCTGGACCCATTGTTAATTACTACTCTCTCTGCTGTTGATTCATTGGTTTTATTGGATGCTTATTTCCTGTATTTTGATGTTGGTTGTTTTTAATATATTTGTTATCTTCCTAGGGATTTTTTTATGAAAGGTGAAATATACATAGAACTCACACAAACACACACATTAGAGCAAGTGTTGCATGCTGACCAAGGACTAGCCAGCTATCTGACACCACAATGCAACTCTCTATGAACACTGCCCAGAGCTCACATGTAAAGAAAACGTGGAAAGGACCAAGACAGTGCCTGCTAAGGATTCAGCCTTGCTCTGTATTTAGTGGTTCACATTTTATATCAACAAATAAGGTGACACTCTACAAGCAGCATGCCATCTCTGTCTGTCTGTCTCCCTCTCTCTCTGAAAAGAGCTGCTAAAATTATCAGTTAATGCTAAAATAAAATTAAATAAAATAAAAGCAAAGGCAGCCGCCAAAGCCGGCATAGTTCTGGAGCGTTCCCCATCGTGAGGCTGCTGCAAACAGCAGCGATTAGGGCTGATAACCAGTAATTACAGCACGAAAATATTTAAAGAGCCGCTCCATTATCATCCCTAATCTAAAAATTATCCACTTCATGGCTCAGGGATTTGTGCTTTTTAGAGGGAAAAGAAATTCACAGTCTTTGGTCTCTTAAACAAAGCAAAAAATGAGTCTTGAAAAGAAATTCTCCATCTTACACTGGAGTGTTTGTTTAGTTTCTCAAGAGTGTAATCCTAGGCATGTTTAGATGAAAAAAAGTATTACAACTCCCAGCATTCCTTTGCCAGTCATGTTGGGAACTGTAGGATTCTTTCCCAGTCTAAATATGCACATAATTGCAGCTTTAAAAAGAGACCTGCTTCTGGAGCATACAAACAAGCACACACACAAGGACACGAACAGACTCTCTGGGTTTACATTGCTCAGTACATTTCAGCATGTTGCTTTCTTGTCCATAGTGCTATTATACCACTATTTTTACCAGAGCCCATGGAAGCCTCACCATGAAAAGGCACATGGTTGCCCTCCGATGGTCACTGTGATGTCACTTCCTGCATTGAGGTGCTTCCCCTTTATGCTGATCCAGGTACCTCCAGAGAGGGGACCACGAGCTGGTGTCACTTGTGAGAAAGTTGGAGCCTGCCAAAAGGAAACACAGTAAATTCACCCAGTTCAAGAGATTCCCTGAGTGTCCAAAGAACTACCTAGGCAAACCTGAGAAACTTAATCTTGTCCCTGCCATTTTGTGACACTGGGTGCATCACCTTATCTGATTCTACTGAATACCATCTAATATTAAATAGGCAAACTAAAAAGTAAAGACTAAGTCATCCATGACCATGCTGAATATACAAAAATCTACCATTAATTTGCTTATTATTTATTTAATGCACATGCACACACAATCCTTCAACCAGCTATTTCCTGGGATGGTTCACAATAAGATTTTTTATCTCCGCCCCTATCAAAATGAAAACAGACAATAAAAATATAATCAAAAAGCAGAAAAATAAAATGGTTAATGCTGAGAAGTTTAAAGACCTGGGAAAACAAACTTGTTTTTGCCTGGCATCAAAAATATATGCAATAGATAGATACACAGAAAGATATACTTAAGAGGGTCTATCTATCTTTCTACCTATCCCACATGCATAAACACACAAACACACAAATTTAGTACACTTTTTACATGGATTGTCACCATTGGTATACAAATATTGCACTTTTCCTGGGCCTGGCTTTCAAAGAACATTTTGGCAGCAGGATTCAGCCCCTGGGGCCTATCAGGCTAATTAATATAACTATGGATTATATTAGAAGTAGTGCTTTGTGTAGAAGCAATGCCCTATTTCAAGAAAGAGAAGCACCACAATTTTGGATTTTGTCCTGTGTATGTCTTAAATAGTTTATGACTCAGTGAAATTTACTTTTTTGACCAATAACCATTAAAATCAGCACCCAGAATTTCTACAGCTAAATCACAAAAACCAACTGCTTGAACAATAAAATCACACTGCAGTCACTCTTGTCTTCTCAGTGGCTGGATATGTGACTTCTCAGCCTTCTGAAGGAGTTAGAGCAAAGATTAGGACACAACTTATAATTATCCACAACTCCTTTACCTCTTGGAGATGGAAAAAGAAATGTAGGATGCAAACAGAAAAGAGTGGGATTCAGAGTAAGAAGAGAAGTTATATGAAAATTACTAAAGCTATATCATCCTTACCACAAAAGTGAAGCTTTTGGGGGCTATGGCCTTGTAGCTGGGCGAACAGTCCCCGACACAAACTTCCACAGGGGCATCTTGGATTTTGCTAGGGCTGGCTTCTCCAATCTCACAGACGATCCTAGAGAAGGCACAGTACGTGGTCTTGCAAAGCACAGGAAATGCATTGGCAAAGCTGCCCTGCAGATCCTTGCCCAATCCTCAGGCCAAGAAGCCATTATTACCACTCTAATTTACAGCATGGACAGGTATTTCCTTCCAACTTTGTCACTGAATTCTGATGGGCTATTGTTGTTGTTGCTATTTTTTTAAATTACATGTCATTTCAAAATTCCAAGAAGTGATTTCTCAGCATATATCAAATTGGCTTTTGAACAATAGGCATATTAAAATGGCAAAATATATAAAACATTGCAAGTGCTGAAACACTCAACTCAGCAGGAAACCAATTAAAATTTAACAAAATAAAAGGAGAAACAAACAAAAAAGAATCCTGTTTGTTCCTCTTCCCCCACTACTGAGGCAGTACATATTAATGCAATGTAACACATATTCTAGAAATTAAACAGTACAAAAATTCCTATACATTTCTGGCTAAGCATCTTTAATACCATTTCTATCTGCATATGAAAGGAGAGGCACCCAAATGTTCATAAATTAATTTATCTTCTTAAATCCTCTTCTTTTTGAACTTGCTCTGTAAGTTTATACATAATTTTAAACTTGAATAGCCTGAATAGCTAAGACAAAGAACAAAGAATGCAAAGAAAGGAAGTTATTGCTTCCAGCTGGCAAGCCAGAATTGATCAGCTTTAGATAGCACTGATCTTCCAGCACACATTTAGGACTTTGCTGAGAAGCCAGAAAGACATTCAAAACATCAAAACATTCAGAGTGGAACTTTTCAAATTAATGTTAAGGTGTACAATTTTCCCAAATCAAAGTGGTATAGGACTTCGGCTGGGGCTCCTCTCTTCAACACTATTTCCCACCAGAGAATCATCCTGACAAAAATGTCGTAACTAGGTTAGCTTATTTCCTGGCATTTGTCGCTGTTTTGTGGAACCACATACAGAGACTCTCTGGAAGGACTGATTTCTTTCTTTCTAGCCACCCTCTCACCCATTTTGTCCTCTAAGGAGTTCAGGCTATCATCATCCCCTTTAATCATCACAACAACCCTGTAGGCAGATGAGGGTGAGAGATTATCATACCCAGGGTACCTCAGTAAGCTTCATGGGTAAGCCAGGTTTCAAACCTAGCCCAAGTGGAACTCCCTTACCTACTAGACCACAGGTGGAAACAACTTTCATGCCACTCAGTCCAGATGCGCTGACAAGCCAAGCCTTAACCAACCTGGTTAAGTGCTATAGCCACCCTTCCTCAGTGGTAGCAGTGACTAATGCATGTGCTTGCCAATTCTAAAGAGCATCTGCAGTTAGCTGCGGCTAAGACCAAAATCTCTCAGAAAGCAGTGCTATTAGCAAACCTGTAGCTTACTTTTGGATCTGGTAAACCAGGGGGGTAATACACATACTGCATTATTTCCCGAGCTGCTTTTCTCTCAAAGGGACACAAACATTACTACCCTTCATTTGTAGGATACTCACTGCTCAGCACTGATATATTCTCTCTCGATGGGAATGCAAATCACCTTGCCAACCCGCACACCCACGCGCACATCCTCAAACTTCAGGCCCAGGTTCTCACCGATGATGGTTAAGCGGGTACCGCCCTGCCGGGGGCCTGTTTCAGGGGACAGCTAGGAAGGAACAAAGCCAAACTGTTACTGCATTCACTAGGTCACTGTGATCAGTTTGCTCACCCATCATGACACCATATCAGCCCACACACCAATTATTTATCAATGTATTTACATTCCCAGGGCTCTAGGCAGATTGCAAGTTGGCATTAACATATAACTTGGTAAACTAAAACTAAAACAATAAATGTTTTTTTTTTAATCCAAGCTGCCCACCCACAGACCATCCAGACAGGCTTTTGTCATCTAGGCAGTGATTCAAAGCCCTTCTTCCAGCTACAGCATATTGGCACACCGTCCATTTTCCTGCTTGGCACAGTGAAGTTACACAAGCTCAGGTTCTGATTTATACCACTTATTCAAAATGGAAGAGGAGGAAACCTTCCCCTCCAAATTGTTAGGCAGTGTTAGGATAATCAATGCATCATTTTCTATTTCTGTACCATGTTAAACTTTGCTCACAGTCACTGAGCCACAGTCCCTCTCTCCCACCTATAGAAACCATAGAAATATATCTGGGGCATATACATTGAGGTGGAAGAAGTCTGGGGATTCTTCATAGCAGAGAACAGTCAGGAAAAAGACACACAGAGGGCAAGATGCAGAGCACTCAAACCACCTGTTTTGAATAGCTGGACTGCTTAGTTGATTTGCAAATGTTACGTTCAAATTGTGGCTCTAAGGCACCAAAGTAGTTCAAGTCACTAAGCCACCTGTTGCCTCTGACTCAAAAGCAATGCACATTAAAACCTCTCTGAACTTCTGGTGGCAAATAAGTGAAAATGGAAATTTTCTGCCTTACTATGTGAAGACCCTTGCTTGGAGTTTTAGCAATGGGCTGTCCTTTCTTGGCAGCATTTGCTTACCTCTGAACATTCACAGAGACTGTCAGTTATTTCTCTTCCACGCTATGAGTTAACAGAGCAAAAGCCATCCTGCCAGAGCCATAAAGGTTCCACGAAGGGGACACCAATTAACCCTTGCACAGTCTTCCCTTCCCCTACCAGCAAACCCTGGTGTGTCCCAGAGTTTCTGCCAACACCAGCTGGGGAGGGAGGAGAGCCCCAGCAGAGCATGATATGCCTCATTTGTTAGGATGATTCCCAATAAAGCGGACAGGTGTGGCTTGACATACACCGGCGCGATGACAGATGAGCAGAGCGGCACAGGCCCACCATTGTCACTAACAAGGTAATTATGGGCAATTTTACACTGTATTTTGCTGGCCCCTGATGCTCAGCACACACCTGCAAGTGATAAAGAGGATTAATGGGCACCCAGCTGGGAAAGCTTTGTGCTGGGTCACTGGCAACCCCAAGCCAAGGGAAGGGGCTCCAGGAAAAAGAAGCCTTAGCTATGGCCACCAGCCACAGTCTGGAACAGCATAAATGAGCCTAGCAAAACCAACTGCAGATCGCTTCTCTGGCCACTCATCATGGCCCCATTGTTTCTGCTGGCTCTGGACACAGCCTTTTCTAAGCTAGGTGGTGCTGTGCCTGAGAACGCGCCCCATTATTTGTTAAAATCTTACATCCTGCCAACTTCTGAAGACTCAGAGAGGTTTTCGTGGATAAAAATAAACAAGAGGCATACAAATGTGGTCCTTAATGGCCACCTAATGCTGCCTAAACAGAAATGCCTGCCACCAGTTCTAGAAAATGCAGAGCCGCTGGCAAAGGTCCAGAAGAAGGGATTCCTGTCATTGTGAGACAGCCATTAAGGCGCTTTGCTACATGCTCTTGCACAAATTGCATTGTTAAGGAGGCACGCAGTGAGTTGATCTTGACGGTGGTGGTAAATCAGTAGGTAGGAAAGTGATTTCTGGGGCATGTGGACCAAAGCTGTTTAGTTCTAAGCCAGCATCTTGAATTGTGGTTGGAGAAGTATGAAGAGCCAGTGCAGCAAGAACACAATCTGAGATCAACCAGAATTGTTTTGTGAGGCAAAAAGGCAAAATGTTCAAAAAACACCCAACTGCTATGATAGTCAAGTCATTTAAATAAACTGTTCTCTTTAATATTACAGCCAGTTGTTCTGTGTGGGGCAGACCACCTCATGGCAGAGCCATAGCTAGGTGAAATATACAACTGAGGTCCTGACGCCAACCTATCTCACCTTATACCAGGTGCTCTTCAAGGGCAGCAACATACAATAATAAACCACAATAATCAGATAGCAAAAGAGAGTTCATGCAGACTGCATCCCTCTTCTGGCAGGGGTTTTCTTTCCCCTGCAGCATTATCTATTGGGTCCTTCCCTTTCCCAGAACAGGTGTCATTTCAGTCTATGACAGGGTTCACCAAGGGAGAGAAAAGAAAAACTTGGTAGAGAGAAAGTAACAAAGTAACAGGAAACCATTTCCTCCAGCCCCAGAGGAGGGTACAAATGTAAAGAACATCCTCCTTCAAGCACCACTGAATACTAAATACAGCATTTTATTTTTCATTCTTCAAACCATGCCCTATGAGAGCCACCTTGCACCACTGACCAAGCTGCAAAGAGAGACCAGCCAAGATACAAAGAGGCTGCAGTTTGCTCAAAGCTAACAAGGATCAGATATCCACAAACCTCAATTCTCATCTTTGCGCTCTGACTTACAGACCATTCCAAGCAGTTTTAAGTCTTAGGGCAACAGCATGCCATGCTTCAGAATTTATACAATAGTCAAAACTGATTTGAGCTTTGGGGTTTGCCATTCACCTAAATCCAATCCAATCATTTGCTAAAGTCCTGAATCAGAACTCATTAAAGCAGCTGCTGCAGCAGGCAGCCCGAGTCATTCTTTCCTAAATTGGGCTTCTCTGGGGTACTCGGTAAGCTGTGGCTGTTTGTTTGGTATTGTTAAATTAATGTTAAAGGATGCTGTGGTATGTTAGATTTCCCCTCCACTGCAGCAAAAGTGACAAGGGCCACACGTTTGGGGAGCAGCAGCTCTGGGAAAAAGTTGACACTGCTTGACATGCTGTGTGGGGAGGTCACAACTAAACAAGGCACCTGGGAGCCAGTGCTGGCAGGGAAATCCAGCTCTTTCCTGAACTGTCT